CCACCATACCTAACGCCCCACACCCTACCACCTCCCCAACGCTCCGCTCCCTCAGCCCTGCTACCACTGAGGAGGTCACTAAGGTCTTCACTGAAGCCTGCCTCACCACTTGCCCCCTGGACCCTATCCCCTCATAACTCCTCCAGTCACCCCCCTCCTCCATCATTCGCTCCCTCACCCACATCTTCAATCTCTCCCTCTCTATTGGCGCATTCCCCTCCCCACTAAAGCACGCACACATCATCCCCATACTCAAAAAACCCTCCCTTGACCCCACTGACCTAAACAACCTTAGACCCATCTCCCTGCTGCCATTCACTTCCAAGCTCCTTGAACGCTTAGCCTACAACTGCCTAAGCGCCCACCCCACTGACAACAACCTCCTTGACCCACTACAATCTGGCTTCTGTCCCCTACACTCCACCGAAACCGCCCTACTTAAAATCACTAAAGACCTGCTAACCGCCAAAGCTAATGGCCACTACTCAGTCCTCCTGCTCCTCGACCTCTCCACGGCCTTCGACACAGTCGACCCCCCCCTCCTCCTTACTAAACTGCACTCCTTTGGTGTCAGGGACGCAGCTCTCTATTGGTTCTCCTCCTACCTATCCCAACGCTCCTTCAGTGTCACCTACAACGCTGCCACCTCCCCCTCTCTTTCCCTCTCTGTTGGAGTCCCCCAAGGCTCTGTCCTCGAACCCCTCCTTTTCTCCATCTACACCTCCTTCCTTGGCAAACTGATACACTCCCACAGCTTCAACTATCACCTCTATGCCGACGACAGACAAATTTACCTCTCCACCCCTCACCTCACTCCCTCACTCTCCGCCTGCATCGCCCACCTCCTGAACGACATATCAGACTGGATGTCGCTCCATTTCCTCAAGTTAAACCTGTCCAAAACCGAGCTCCTAGTTTTCCCCCCAGCCCGCGACTCCCCCCCCCATCCTCTCCATCACGACTAGCAACGCCACCATCAATCCCACCCCTCACGCCAAAGTCCTGGGTGTCACCCTGGACTCAAACCTTTCCTTCCAACCTCATGTCCAATCACTATCAAAGTCATGCAGGCTTCACCTCCGCAACATCTTCCAGATACGCACGTTCCTCATCCCAGACAATACTAAACAACTTGTACACTTCCTCATTATCTCACGCCTGGACTACTGCAACTCCCTTCTCACTGGCCTACCCAAACAAATGCTATCCCCACTCCAGTCTATCCTGAACTCAGCAGCTAGACTCTTCCACCTCACCAACCGCTCCACATCTGCCACCCCCCTCTGCCAATCCCTTCACTGGCTCCCGATTGCCCAACGCATTAAATTTAAATTACTAACTGACATACAAAGCCATTCACAACGCTGCCCCAAACTACCTAACTAACCTGATACCCAAATACTACCCTACCCGTGCCCTTCGCTCCTCACAGGACCTCCTACTCTCCAGCAAACTGGTCTCCTCCTCCCACGCCCGACTGCAGGACTTCTCCAGGACTTCCCCCATCCTCTGGAACTCCCTACCCCAATCCATCAGACTGTCACCTACCCTCCTCACCTTCAGGCGCACCCTAAAAACCCATTCTCTTCAGGGAAGCCTACCCCACCCTCACCTAACAACCGATCTCCTCCACTCCTCCTACCACTCCATCTCCCACAGCCACTTCCTCCTGTACCACTATCCCCTCCCTCCTAGATTGTAAGCTCGAAAGAGCAGGGCCCTCGTACCCTTCGTGTATTGTATTGTACTGTATTGTCTCATGTTCTGTCCCCCTCGCTAATGTACAGCGCTGAGCACATCCTTCAGTGCTATATAAATACTGTATAATAATAATAATAATAATATGTGGTGTGGATGGTGCCACCTAGTGTATTTATTTATTAGTGTCAACAGCCCATCTGTGCCATGTGATTAGCTGTGGCCAATCACAGCTAATCACAACAAAAAAACTGAATGATAGATTTCAGTTAGTAAAAGCAATCATAATGTGCAAAAAAAAAATTACTGATCACTTCCCAAGAGTAGTGCAATGTTACTATGGTAACATGATATTGCTCTGGTCAGTGTGTAAAAAAAAAATAAAAAATGGAATAAAAAAAAAAATATTAAAACAAATTGAAAAAAAAAGTCATAATTTTTTTTTTTTTTGTACTGTCACCAGTCAGTGTTCCTGATCATTGCCACACCAGTTATATGATAACGCTGTACTGCACTGGTGATAGTATGTAAAAAAAAAGAAAAAGATTTATGACAAAAAAACTACATCTTTAAAGAACTTACCATGCCTCTGACTAAATACCTTGGGCTGTCTACTTTACAAAAAGGAGACATATATGTACCTTCCTGACATTTTTGAGCCTCAAGAAATGAGAAGGCCGTCAATACATTGTTGTGTAAAAAAAATTATAAATATTTAGTTTGGTACAAAGCTGCATGACCGCGTAATTGTTATTCAATGTGCAACAGTGCAAAAATGAAAAAATTTAAAATTGGCCTGGGCAGGAAAGGGGTAAAAGTGCCCAGTATTGAAATGGCTAAAACCCGGAGCACAGGGGTCAGGTGTGAGTAATGCACAGAGTGCAGGGGTCAGAAGTGCATAACACACCAATTGCAGGGGTTCAGAGTGCGTAATGCAGACTGCATAGGTCCAGCAAAAATGACTGTAGTTGTCTTTTCAGTGAACACCACAAGTGTAAATGGGTCCTAAAAAAAATGTGTTAAAAATTGGTCACTTGCACTAGAGTAGTGCAGTGTCACTATGGTGACACTGTACTGCTCTGGCCAATGATCAGAGAGACTGTATAATGCACTGGAATTCTATGTCTCTGATCACTAATCAGAGCAGTGCAATGTCCCTATAGTGGCATTGCACTGCTTCAGTGACAGTGCTGTTTTTTTTTGTTTTGTTTTGGGTTTTTTTTTGTGTGTAGTACAGTGCCAAGCACTTTTTTTACATACAACCTGTCTGATAGACATTAAAGGCTGTAGCATTCCATCCTTTGTTTACATAAGTCATTGACCTTGAAGAAACATGTAGATTAAAAAGCTAAAATGATGTAAAAACTCCTGATCTGCATTCTTTCTGGGTTAGAACCTCGTAAGATATTTGAAGCTGTTGGACTAACATGACAGCCTGATCGCTAGCATTTGCAGAAGGAGAGGGCAGCACTTGAAAATCCTATATTATAATAAATATTGATGGTAATTTTGCCATATAGATACTGGTATAAAACTGCAGGGCATTAAAAAGAACTATAGGCAAATTTTTTTTTTCATTTTGGACAGAACAAGGGAGAGTTATAACCCGTCAGATTTTTTTTTTTTTGCCATCTATGTCCCATTCCAGATTTTTCCCTGCACATCCTAAAACAAAGCCATACAGGAACTGAGAGGAAATCCTTGCAAAATTAAGGCAATTCCTTGATGACCCCCAGGTCACCAGAACTAATGTCCCCATTGGAAGATTTCCCTTCTATTACTTTTCTGGGGACAACCCAAAATATGGGCTTTTCTTTACTTTCACTTTCAATGATAATGGTAAACAAGATATACTGTATAGAGAGTGTAAAATCTCCTTAATACAGGCATAGACAGCAATAAAAACTGACAGTTCTAATCCCTCTCCACTCTGTCCAAAAAGTTTTGCCCTTAGTTATACTTTAAACTATGAAAGCCAGACCAGATACACAAATGAGATAAATGGCTATGTGGATGTAGGAAATCCCTAGCTATATCAACACCCTCTTTCAAACCTCCTGCTTGTTCCTTAATATTCAAATGGTAGTATCCATGTTGAAGTTGTACTTATAAGCCACGTTGATTTTGAACAAAATACACTGAGGAGCATCTGAGGAACAAACGGGGCAAATCAAACACCCAATAGTTTCATGTCTCATAACAAACTTTCCAAAAAGTGGTAGAATGAAAGAAGAGAGCAGAAAAGTTAGAGAAGAGTAGAGGGAGGCTGTAGAAAACAAGGAGGGGAAGGAAGGGAGCAAGTGGAGGGAAGAAGGAAACCCAGAGGGCCAGCCCATGGCCAGCTTGGTAGACAGTCCAGATCACATTGGAGGGAAAATCACCTAAACAACTGGGGGAGAGGAGGGCGATGGTAGGTGTTGGTACCCTATACAACCAGCAATTTTCCATCCAACACGTTTCAGTTCCATTGAAGTCATACAAAAATTCCATGGTGAAACACTTAGTCAACGCTACGCAATCCTGTATCCCTGTGCTGTGGAAATTGCCTACTACACCCTCCCTGTCGTTCTGGTTCCTCATGATTGAGCACACTAGGAAAATGGAGAGCCTGACTAGCATTTTGAAAGGTATAGAGGAGAAAATTCACAAAATGTGGTTCCATCAGACCATGTTCTGCTGCACTATGGAATTTAAGCAAATCCTCACAGCCTTATAGTCTTTGAAATTCGGTACAAAGATTTAGGATGTGTTCAGTTCTTTTGCCTGATTCACACAGGCTTCAGCTTGTATAGGAGCAGTGTGAACAGCAAGTTTTGTTGAATCTTTTAAAGTACCATTCAACTCCAGTTTGTAAATGTTGGACACAGATCCTAATGGGAGTGTTGATTGCCATTTTACACAAGCTGCTAGCTGGCTTCAGCAGGCTATCAACAAGCTCCAAGAAGTTCTGAAGCCTGCTAGCAGCTTGTTTGGGGGGTGTAGGGCCTCCCCTTTCTCATTCAATCGCCCCAGACTCCCCCTGCACAGTCTGTATCATTCCTGTTGCTTGTTGTTAAATCTTATAGCTGTCAGCTGATCAGCCTCTAGTGGCTCTGATTTTACGAACAGTGCCATGAATGGATAGCAATTGAGCATGTCAAGAGCAGGGTGAGATAGTGCATTACTGGTTTTTAACCACCTCCCGCCCACCATATAGTAATATGACGGATGCAAGGTGGTTCTCTTATTCTGGGAGGACGTCATATGACATCCTCCCATTCTAACCACGCATGCGCGGCTCCTGGAGCGTGCAGTGCTGTGATCGGCGGTGCGCTGTGTCCCTCGGACACAGCGGATCACCAATCCACAGAAAGAGCCGAAGATGTCGGCTCGGTCATGTGATCAGCTGTGTCCAATCACAGTTGATCACATGTAAACAGGGAAATGCCGTTTATCGGCATTTCTCTCCTCTCGAGCTGTCACGCTGACAGCTCGAGAGGAGAGGAGAGGAGAGCCGGTAATCGGCATTCTGCGGAGTGTGCCCTGATGATCAGTGTAGCCCCAGCAGTGCCACCTGTCAGTGTCCATCAGTGCCAGCTGTCAGTGCTCATCAGTGCCACGTGCCAGTGCCCATCAGTGCCACATCGATGCCACATATCAGTGCCTATCAATGCCACATATCAGTGCCCATCTGAGCTACCTTTCAGTGTCACCCATCAGTGCCAGTCAGTGCAACTTATCAATGCCAATCAGTGCCACCTATCAGTGATGCCAATCAGTGCCACCTGTGAGTGCCAGTCAGTGCCGCCTATCAGTGCGCATCAGTGCCACCTATCAGTGCCAGTCAGTGCCACCTAAGTGCCAATCAGTGCCAGTCAGTGCCGCCTATCAGTGCCATATATCAGTGCTGCCTTTTAGTGCCCATCAGTGATGCCTGTCAATGCCCATCAGTGCCACCTACCAGTGCCTCCTCATCAGTGCCCATCACTGCCACCTATCAGTGTCCATCAGTGCAGCCTATCAGTGCCCATCACTGCAGCCTCATTAGCGCACATCAGTGAAGTAGAAAAATCACTTATTTACAAAAGTTTATAACAAAAACTAAGAAAAAACGTGTTTTTTTTTTTTTCAAATTTTCAGTGGTTTTTGGTTTGTTTAAGAAAAAATAAAAAACCCAGAGGTGATTAAATACCACCAAAAGAAAGCTCTATCTGTCACAAAAAAAATGTCATATGGGTACAGTGTTGCATGACCGCGCAATTGTCATTCAAAGTGTGACAGCGCTGAGAGCTGGAAATTGGCCTGGGCAGGAAGGGGGTATAAGTGCCCTGTAGGCTAGTGGTTAAACAGTATAGGCATCTTTTTTTAATGTTTTGCATAGCTATACCTGCAAAAAAGGCCAGCCTGAGGTGATCTATCAGGACTTAATTTTCTAGCTAAAGTTCCACTTTAAAAGAATATTGGTACAAAAATTGTCTCAGATGCTTTTACACAGAGCGTGTAAACATAATATTTTTTTTTGGGCAAAAGAAAAAACAACTTTTAAAAGAGAAGTATGGCTTTCCTTTTTCCCCAAAAATTATACTTACCTAGGTGGATGCAACATCGCTCCGATGCTGCATCTGTCCCCCACCGGCTCTAAGTGTGAGAACTCAGCAATTACATGTTCGCTGATCACTGATTTCTCACCACCACTATGAGCAGAGAGCAGCGACTGTCAGTCACCACTGTTTGCTCTGACCCCCTCCCCACAAATGCTCAGTGGAGTGCTGGGCTGTGGAGTGGCTGGCTCAGGCTCTCGGCGGCTCGCCAAACAACTTTAAACTCGGGATCTTTCCCCAACCTGGACCAGATGAGTGATGTCAGCCAACAGTGGACTTTAGCCTGCTGTCAACTGAAAATGGCTCACAGGAGTGCAGAACTAACTGCATTCCTGTGATCCACAGGAGAAGTACAACCAAAAGAGCTTTGGCTGCCCTTCTCCTTTAAAGTGGTTCTAAAGGCTTTTTTACCTTAATTCATTTTCTGCAGTAAGGTAAAAAAACCTTCGTTGATCAGAATTCTCCTCCTCACCACCACCTAAATACTTACTTGAGCGGCTCTCTCCACTCCATCTTCCCTCATAGGACAGAGAGACAGCAGCTGCTGTCAATCAAATCTTGTGACAAGGGAGTGAAGGGCGGGGCAAAGCCATGCTATCTGTGTCTATGGATGCAGGCAGCGCAAATTGGGATTGAGCCTACAAAGGGTGCCCCCACAGCAAGCCACTTGTTTTGGGGGAACTTGTCAAAGAGAAGGAGCCAGGAGTGCTGACAGGGTACATGTGACAGTGTGGCGATCTGTCGCCCAGGATTCTCAACAAGGCAGGTTGAGGGGCTCCAGGGTAAGTGTTTGATACAGAGGAAAGTGGCTTTTCACTTTCCTCCTTTGTTTGTAAGGTCCATTTTGGGATCTGGAGCCTGGAGATTTCAAAGAGATCTGGGAGGGATGAAAATCTCCAATCCTGGGACCAGGTTTTGGTAATGGCCAGGAGACTGATTGCACAGGTGTGTGCAGGCCTTTTCATAGAGTCAGGACCAGGGTTCTGGGCTCCACCCCGGCAGATAGGAGTCAGGAGGGCTCCACCCCGGCAGATAGGAGTCAGGAGGGCTCCACCAAGGAGAGGTGGAAGCCAATAGCAGCAAGGGGCTGCTAGAGACTAGCTATGTGCTAGTGGCCAGCTGTGTGCGAGAGCCATGTTTTGAAAGAGTCTGCAGGAGACAGACATAAGCCTGAAGAGGAAGGCCAGTGGAAGAGTGTTTATATCTGAGAGAGCCAGGAGGCTGAATTTTGTGTATGTGGATGATCGATACCCCTGTGTGGGAAACTTCTGATGTTTTGAACTTTAATTTAAATAAAAGTGGGCTAAAAAGGCCTTAAAAAGCAAGCGAGTTGCTGTGTGCGTTACAAAAGCTCTACCACTTTGAAGCGAGTTCCCACAGTACACCAGAAGAGGAGGTTCAGGGTTACTCTGTGCAAAACCATTGCAAAGAGCAGGCAAGTAAGACATGATTTATTAAAAAAAACAACGTTTATAATCTTGGAGCTGTCCAAATTTTTTCCTGGCAGCCGTCACTATATTCCTTATTTCAGTTTATCATCATCCAGGACCAACATTTTGAGAACTTCTATGAATTCTCCACTATTATCTGGGGGGTTGAAAACCAACTTATTCCTTAGTGTCATGTGTATATTTTCTTCATTTTTTTGTGAAAGTTTAAGGAATTCTGTCACCATGTAGCCCATCTTTACTCCACCATCGAAGCACTCTCTATCTCCCGGGCACAGGTTCCTTTTAAATAACATTCACCTTCCTACCCTTTCAAACCAACTTGAGTTTTTATGGATGCTTATATTACTGCTCCTGAGATCACAAGGTGAGCAAAAGATCAGGGTTTGATTGCTACACGGTTGTTTTTTTCAAAAAATGTTCAGATCTCCTCCTTCCTCATTTGCAAGCGGTCTATAATCACCTCAAGTTGGGCAACCCTTTTCCACAAGAATCATTCAAGGTCAACTTTGCTATGATACCAAAACCCAACACGGATGCACATACCTGATCTAGCCCCAGTCGAGTGGCCCCAGCTTCAACCTGCAGCCCTGGCCACGCCCCTGCCGGGAATTTCAGAAATTTGTGGCAGCAGGCGCTGTCCAGCCTGACCCATCCAGTGAGCAGAGAGTACCTGGAGTAGAGCTTTACCCTGGTATGGAGGCTGGGAGGAGGCACGGAAGAGTGAGAGTGGGAGGGGGGCCGAGTTGCTGCACCACGGGCCTTTGGGTTGTACTTGCCCCATGGGCCAAAAGTTGTCTGTCAGCCCCTGCTTTCTACCTTACCTTGGGGTTCGCCTGACCCCCTCAATTGGCTCCCTGTACCAGGCAAACTACCCCCCCTTTCAAGAATTAAGCTAAGCTGCTTGCCTCTTTGGCATATTTACAATTCTCTTGGTTTGGTAGGATACATGTCCTCTGCATGACCTGTTTACCGAAACTCCTTTATTAATTCAGATTTCTGCTATTTCCCATTTCCAACCACATTCTGCAAATCAAAGTACTTCAATTCATATGGAAGGGCAGTAGACCTCGTTTGTCAGCTGCCACACTGTACTGCCGCAGGCTAGTCTGTGGCCTGGCTGTATCCCACCTTAAATATTACTATACTGCGGCTCAAATTGCGCCCTTGGTCTCCCTGCATGCTGTTTCCGAGACTCCCATTTTGGTTAATTTGCTAAAAGCTGAATATTCAGTTTTCACAGTCTATAACCTCCTCTAGACTCTGCCCAGCTTTTGATCTCCACTTTGTGAGCCCTCCATGTTGCTTTGTTTGCGTTTGGGGGATTCCATTAAATATTCTAGCAGGTTGCTTTCCCCTCATTTGCCCCTCTCTGGCCTCCTAAACACCCCCCAGTTCTTCCCTGCCCACGACAATTCATTCGTTTTTGGGTGGCCACATAGGAGGGGCATTAATTATGTAATTGAAATCCTTGCTTTGGATGGCATCAAGTCCTTTCAATACCTTCCAGAGCACTGGCACCTACCAGCAATCGAGTGTTTTTGTTACATTCAAATTCACCACCACATTCGTAGCTTGCCCAAGGAACCACAAAGGTCTGCTAAAACACCTTACTCCCTTTGAGAACTGATGTTTAAAAGACCCACACTGGAAAGGCTTAGTCTCTGATTTATAAACCAAATTTCCCTGACTTGATTAATTCAGGATCCCTTTCCTATATGGGCCTTGGATCTTGGTAGAACCCCAGACATGGAATCTTTTGCCAAGATTTGGCTTGCCGCTTGTGTTTCTGGGGTTGCAGGGAAAGAGGCACCCTCCTTCACACTTGAAGGAACTCTCCCAAAGCAATCCAGTTCTGGATGTGGGTCTATGCTATGATCCAATCCATACTTGATATCTCCTTAGCTCGCAATCCCGGGAGGCTCTGCCTCATGAATCCATCCTGTCCTTATCCAAGAACTGATGGGGTTTATGCTGCTGGCTGCTCAACAGACTCTTGCATGGGCATGGAAACAACCTTTTCTTAATATTGGTGAAGTAAAGCAGAGACCCATTGGTATTATGGAGCATGAGAAGCTCACTTCACTCCTGGAAGACACATATGCCTAGTGCCTTAAGGTTTGGAGCCCATGGATCGACTATAATGCTCAGGAGAATATTGATTACACCCTGCTTTCTCTATGATCCACCTACGTGGAGGATTTCATGGTTTGCTGGTCGGACCACCCGGCTTCCCTCTCTCTTCATCTCCTTCAGGCAAGTGTCACCCCCCCCTTTTTTTTTTTCTTCTTTCCTTTCTCTTTATTTGATTCTAACTTCTTTGTAACTTACAGAGTGGAGTCGAACTTGGCTTGTCTCCTTTCTTACCCATATTTACTTTCCAGGCACTAGTATTTGCCAGAATTTGAGGGGATCCCCTTTTTCTCTTTTCCTTTTCTCATGTTTTTTCATGTCGCCAAGTAAGACGGTCAGTGTTGTCAGCGAAGAGCAAACTCCTCCCTTATTGGGACATTAATTCTGGTTTCTCCTGCTTTTCATACTAACCACCTTGCTGACTGCATTGGTCAGACAATGTCAATGCCTTTGTTATTACAATGTACCTTCACTTATACCTTGTTATTTTGTACTCTTCGTTGTAATAATTCACAATGTTATTGCTTTTTGGATGCAGCCTCTTTGTACAATAACCTTCTGTGAAATAAATTGGATTGTGTATGTGACTTTCACTTAGTCACTTTATATTTCATTGGCATTTGGGACTTGATTTAGGACCCATTTTTATTTCCATTATTGTATTATTTTGCTGTTTCATATTTGCTTTTATGTTTGTAGCGTGGAGCTATTTGCCAGATCAAGATTGCTTAAAGATTTAAATTGGACTGTGTATGGGACTTCTATTTAATCACTTCATATTTCATATGTGTGAATTTGGGACTTTAGGACTTATTTTTATTTGACCCAAAGAAAGGTGCCTTGCTTCACTCAATACAAAACCTTATATAAAAATTTAATAACTAGTACAGAAAATATGAAATTATATTAACTTAAATTATAAGTGCTCAGTCCATTGTGTTCCTGTATGTGCACCATCCATTTTTTACACCTAAATCACACTCTTCAGTGTAATGTTTATAAGTATAGCTTAATCACTTGAACACTACTTCGTGCGGATATATTATAAGTGATGCAAATACCCTCCACCAGATGTACTCTCACCTGGATTATATGACCAAACCGGTAAGTAAGGTTATATAGCACTTGCGCCCCTCATGTAGGACTCATAATAGCAAACACATATAGAGAAGATAAATCCACTTCTCTTTTGGCTTTATGTACTTCTTTGTTGTTCTGCCTCCACTCAGCATTCCTTCTCAATTGTACAAGAGAGACCACCAAACATAGTGCTTATCCCTTAAAACTATTTATTGCCAATTAAAACAAACTTCCAATTGTGCACTCACATTTAACAGGTGCCTCAGCACACCACACTATTTCACACAGATAATATTGAGCATTAGCATTGATCTGTATATTCAGCTTTTTAGCAGTGTATAATTACCACACTGTCTCGTCTTGCGAGCGTTGTGACGTCATCCAGCCCCTCTGCTTTTTGGGGAGGGGCTGCATGATGTCATGACACTCGCTAGACATTAAAGTTGAATTTATGGTACCAAAACACATTACTCAATATGCACTGAGTAAATAGATACCCAACATGTCAAGCTTTAAGTTTGCTTGCGAGCGAAAAATGACATATATATTGCAACCGTTATTTCCTTATGAAGACACCCCCAGCATGTAGGATGGGCTCCATTTTTTTTTGGGGGGGGGGTTTAAGTGCTTGGATGTAACTTTACATTTTCTTTTTTTGCCTTCACTAAAAATTTAATTATATCACAAAGGGGACAAAAAGTCTAGCATGTAATTAAATTAAGACAATAAGACATCACCTGTCTCAGCTGCCTTCAATCGAAACTAAAGGAGCACAAATTGCACTTCATTCAATTTTTCCTGGCTGGAAGGGCTACGGAAAGTGACACCAAAACCGGAAGTGATGTATTCATGCTCCATGCACACTGGCTTAAAAATCGCTGTTTCTACAGGAATTTTGTGTTTTGCCTGTAGCAGCAGCTTAGTGTTATCCTATGTGTCCATGGACATTAGAACAATTAGAGCCATATTTTAAGCTCAACAAATAAATGAAAATAATCTGCAGCGCTACAAATCATAAATTTCAATATCAAAAATAAATATTGAAAAAAGTGATAATCACATAAGAGTCCCAGAGAAATTGCTTCTAAATAGCATATCCTTCCTCCTGTGAACACCTGGTGCTCCAACCACACAAATGTGCACAATTCCTCCAGGATATGCCATTCAGAAGCAATTTTTTCTGGGACTTTTATATGATTATCACTTTTTTCACTATTTATTTTTTATGGAAATTCATGATTTGTAGCGCTGCATGTTATTTTCATGTATTTGTTGATCTTGCCTATATTTGAGATAGGGTTTTGTGTTATAGCAGCTATGTACAGTATGTATTTGGGTGTGTTATATTCACATATTTTATAGATACACTTGAATTTTGATCCACAGTAGCGCAAAATATCTTTTTTCATATTTTAAGCTCAACATTTAGAGGCAGGAAAAAACCCTTCTGGTTTGTGTTTTTGATTAGAACTTTCTGACAGAAAAACTGCTAAACTCTCCTAAACTGTGTACAAAAACGCTCTATGTCAGCGTTTTTTTTTTTCCTGCCAAGGGAACTGGTGTTTTTTTTAAGCTGAGTGTGCATGGAGCCTTACACATTGCTTCATTTTAGCTAGGGGAAGTCAATGAACATGTAAGACATCCTTTGAAGAAGTCCTATTGGACGAAACGCATCAATAAGTGACATCAGATGTGTGCTGCTGTAAGTACCATCTTTGATGCTGGTTTGCATGTGTTTTTTTTTTAATCTTTCTATGTTTGTAAGTGTATGGGGGAAGAAATTAATGTAAGTTTTATTTGAATATACTGCACTATGGCTATTTATTTAATCTCTTGCTTGTTTAACATTGCTATGGATGAGAGGGAACACTATTAGTGGAGTGAGGACCAGGGGAGGACTGACAACTCATGGGGCCCCCGGGCAATAGGCGATCATGGGGCCCCTGTGTCCTTGCCAAAACTCAAAAAAGCCTATGAAAAAGGTACCAGGGGCATCTCATGGGGCCCCCTACTGACCCCGGGCCCTCGGGCAGTTTCCAAATGGTCAGTCCGCCCCTGGCGAGGACTGTGCTATAAGTGCATGGATTCTGGAGTTTGGACACCGCAATTTGGATTTGTCTGCAAGGAAGAGCAGGGAGAGTGATATACAATGCATGATTACCAATTTCAAGTGTAAGAGTAGATACTAAAGGAATTCAGTTGTTGATGAGGAGGCATATTTTTGGGGAACACATGTCACTGGTTAAGTAAGGCAGTAAGCACATAATGGAAATGTAAGGGCTGCCTACTTTAAAATGTACTACACTATACAGTTGCAAGAAAAAGTATGTGAACCTTTGGACTTAATAACTGGTTGACCCTCCTTTGGCAGCAATAACCTCAACCAAACGTTTCCTGTAGTGTCAGATCAGACCTGCACAACGATCTGGAGTCATTTTGGACCACTCCTCTTCACAAAACTGTTTCAGTGTAGCAATATTCTTGGGATGTCTGGTGTGAATCGCTCTCTTAAGGTCATGCCACAGCATTTCAATGGGGTTGAGGTCAGGACTCTGACTGGGCCACTCCAGAAGGCGTATTCTGTGCTGTTGCAGCCATTGTTTTGTTGAATTACTTGTATGCTTTGGGTCATTGTCCTGTTGCATCACCCATCCTCTGCGGAGCTTCAGTTGGCGGACAGATGGTCGTACGTTTTCCTGCAAAATGTCTTGATAAACTCTGGAATTCATTTTCCCATAAATGACAACAATCCGTCCAGGCCCTGAGGCAGCAAAGCAGCCCCAAACCATGATGCTCCCTCTGCCATGTTTCACATTGGGGATGAGGTTTTGATGTTGGTGCGCTGTGCCTTTTTTTCTCCACACATAGTGTTGTGTGTTCTTCCCAAACAACTCAATCTTGATGTCATCTGTCCACAGTATATTCTGCCAGTAGTGCTGTGGACACATCCAGGTGCTCTTTTGCAAACTTCAAATGTGCTGCAATCTTCTTTTTGGACAGCAATGGCTTCCTCCGTGGTGTCCTCCCATGTACTCCATTCTTGTTTAATGTTTTCTTTATTGTAGATGTGTGAACAAAAATGTTAGCATGTGCCAGAGATTTCTGTAGGTCTTTAGCTGACACTCTGGGATTCTTCTTTACCTCATGCAGCATTCTGCGCCGTGCTCTTGCAGTCATTTTTACAGGACGACCGCGCCTAGGGAGAGTAGCAACAGTGCTAAACTTTCTCCATTTGTAGACAGTCTGTCTTACCGTGGACACATGAACATCAAGGCTTTTGGAGATACTTTTGTAACCCTTTCCAGCTTCATGCAAGTCAACAATTCTTGATCATAGGTCTTCTGAGAGCTCTTTTCAGCGAGGCATGGTTCACATCAGACAGTGCTTCTTGAAACCAGTAAACCCAAAACAGGTGTGTGTTTTTTAAGGGCAGGACAGCTGTCAGCAACACATCCAATATCATCACACTGATTGGAGTCAAGGTTGGCTCACTCCTGGCTCCAATTAGCTCTGGGAGAAGTCATTAAGCTAGGGCCTCACATACTTTTTCCTCCCTGCACTGTGAATGTTTACATGTTATGTGCAATTAAACCATGACAACATCTAATGTTTGTGTAGTATTATGTTCAGCAGACTGTGTTCTTCTATTGTTGTGACTTAGATGACGTTCAGAGCACATTTTATGCCCAATTCATGGAAAACTCCACATAATCCCAAGGGGTTCACATACTTTTTCTTGCAACTGTAGTTTGCACTTTGTTTTTGGAGATTCTAATAGTGAATGCAAAGGGAAGAGTTTTCTGGAAGGAAGAACTGGTAGTGGATTTATATCAAGCACAACTAATGATCCAGAGGGTAAGGGCAGATATTTAAAGGATAAATTCACCTTTTAGAAAAAAAATAATAAATGCACATTTTTTGCAGGTAAAAAGATGTGCATTTATTAGTTTTGTCTACAGGAGCCTGGAAAGCATTGCACCAGCGTTCAGTAGATTGCTGATGCCATGCAGGTCTCCTGCAGACCTGTCAGAATTTCTGCTTTCTGTACGGGATGTACGAGCAAGCAGACATTCTGACAGGAAGAATGAATGAACTACCATGGTGCTTCACAGCGCCGTGGAAGTTCGTGGAAGACTGCAAGCTGACAGCTGCCAAGGATGTCGAGACTTGTAGTCTCTTTTACAGGTGACTGTGAATGAGTGAGCGGCTATGTGGGCGGAGCCCTGCATGGCCACATTTTTTTTTTAAATTTAAAAGCTAGCAAGGGGGGGAGAAGATCCCCCACTAGCCGTCGAAGCGGGAATTGGGGGGAGCGGGGACCAGTCTGAATGTAACATCTTACATGTTACACCCTGAATATGGGTGTACCATGCTACGAAAGGTGAATTTATCCTTTAAGGATTATGAGTTGCTACAGGGGGATGCACATTTTGGCGATGCATGGTACTTGATCACACAATTGAATTGTGAGCACATTTACTAGCTTTACAGTGTGTTTTGTTTGGACATACTACACCAGGAGTCAGCAACCAGTAGATTGGGGCCAAATAACTGGTAAATCACAGTCTGGGCTTGCTGACCTGCCATCCCAGACCATCAAACAGAGTGCAATGCAGAGGGACTGCTTGTAAGATTGGAGCTGTAGTAGGGAGCAAGAACTGCATAAGCCGATGCCTCCTCTGAAGTGCTGGCTCCTGTCCCATGCAGAGTGATACCAACTGCACTCCACCTCTTATCCTGACTAGCGGTCTCCAGAGTGGTCCTATGAGAAAGTGCACCACACCTGCAGCATACAATAGAAGTCTATGGCAAAGCTGACCTAGGAAAATCGCAGATGCACTGTGCTGTACATGCGGTGCAGGTAAACCGCAGTAGATCAGTGTGAAAGCAGCCTTAAAGAGGTATCAGAGCAGTAAGGGTTCATTTACATTTGTAGTTTGGGGGGGTGGAATAACCCCCTTAGTTAAGATGTGTTTTTAGCACCCCCACCCACTCTCTTTAGCTGCAGTGGCAAGAGGTGTACACATGTTGCAGCCACAGCAGGAGTTATACACAATGTCATGGTTGGTGGGGTAGCTCCTGCCAAGCATGACCCATTCAAGTGAGGCCAGTCTGCAAGTGCCCTGCAACTTTGTGCAATACAGCAAACAAGGAGTTAAAGCAGACAGTGTTGTGTTTTTTTCTCACCACCTGTATTAACCCCTTGGACCCTGCAGAAACATTCAGTTGCAAGGCACTTGTAAAGTGGCCCTGATTACTTGAATGGATGATTGGCAGGCTGTAGCACCAACCATAAGCAACAGGATTAATACTTGCTGTAGCATGTGTATATGTTTGGCTGCTGCCTCAGCAGCTAAAGGGGGTAGGGATTGGGGATGGTAAGTCAATTGCAGAGTTTTACCACCCCCAACTTTATGAGTGAAGTAGCCTCAAGGGTGCTGCTGCCAAATGCAACTAAGGGCTCACTCACAAGTGCAGCAGGCACAGCTGCTCCTCTGAAAAGCAATCCGAGTGTGTTTGACAGGTGGTATGTTGCCTCTTTATTACCTGATTTAAATCCTTGGTTTCCGTGCAATGCAACACAGTAGTACAACAATTAGAGTTTTAAATTAGGTGTGAGGACGCTACACTGGGCCCGGAGATCTTTGACTTCCCTCATGTTGTTCAGGTAGATTTCCACCTCTTTAAGGTTGCCTAACCCCTGTACTACACTATATGTTGTTTTTCATTTTTTTGTCACTTGCAGGTATAGAAAGAAGAGGATTCATCTCTAGAATCGTATTGTACTTGTGGAAGAAAGGAGAAACAGAGACAGGACCCATCTTATTTTTAACAAATGTACTTTATTTTGATTCATGAATGAAGAGGCTCTCATTTGATTTGGTGAAGACTATTGTGAGAACATTTTGATGAACTATTAAGAAAAATTCAAATTTTCCAAGCACTGGTTGTTGAATGAACATGTGAGACAGCAGAGCCCGGGAAGCAAGACGGGGAGGGGGGGGGGGGGGGGGGTTGTCATTAGAAAATCATACGGCGGTGGAAGCAAAAGGGTTAAAGCAGAGGTAAAGGCAAAACTTTTTTTCATTTTGGACAGAGTAAGGGAGGATTATAAACCCTTGTCAATTTTTTTTTTGCCCTCTGCATCCCATTGGGGAGATTGTCCTTCACTTCCTGTCCTATAGCTAAAACAGGAAATGAGAGGATATCCATCCAAAAAAGGTAAACAGAACTAGTGTCCCCACTGGAAAATATTCCCTCAATTACTGTTCTGGAGACAACCCAAATTTTGGGATTTTATTTCACTTTCGTTGATAACAGTAAACAGGACAAATAGAGAGGATGAATCTCCCTATTGTATTATTGTAGAGCTGGGGATAGGGATTGGGAATTTAGTAGGATACTCTAAGATTATAAATATTCATGCTGAGGACATCTAACTGATTTCTTGGTTAAGCACTGTGGAAGTCCTGGCTGAAAGCAGATAGCAGACTTCACTTTAGATTGTGACAACAGATAATTTAGGATGCAGTAGCAACAAGTGGACAAGTTCTTCAGAACACTAGCCAGTGTTCCCTTTTCTTAGACCCACTCTGACCATCCATGGTAGCCTCCTTCCAATCTTCTAAGAGATACCCTCCTGTGATTCCAGACAGATCTTTGACAGACAACTCCCCTTAGTCAGCATACTGAAGGACCAGGGCCACTCTTTCTAGCTTCAGGCCCTTAGGTCACCCACCTGAGGCTACATGGCACCAAATGCCAGGCGAGTCAAGCCTGCCTGCAGCCTGGCTTGGTGCAATCCTCTTCAGGAAACAGACCCCGAGTCCATGTGCTCACACAACATAAATACCACTCCCAGCATACAACGGGGCCAACCTCCTCTGCCATTGGCCAGGGCCACATCCATATTCATACTGCTCATTTGCCTAGTTCCCACGCAGGTTCTAGAAGACACTAGTTGCTTTCAGAAGGTGGGAGGAACTCAAGACAAACTCAAACAGCACCATTGCATCCTTATTAATCCATCTCAGCTCTCTGCTAAGCAGAGAGCCCAATTAGATTTTCCTAACAGT